CAACAGAATGTGTGGCCTGTACTGAGCTCCCTCATGTCAGCTATTGGTACCCAAGTAAGCCAATTTAAAGCTAACTTAGGTATGCCTCCACAAACTGCAGTCCTACCTTGAAAGTGAGAGACATACATTTAGAGCAGTCTAAAAGTATGTCTGGGGCCACTACAAAGGCTACTCTAACTACACTCCAATCTTCAGCACTTCCCAGTTCTCCTCTTTCCACTGACCCACTGCATCTCACACTTATAAATTAATTCATTCGATAAAGTGCATTTGGATAACTTCTGACCCTTTGGGGCCTGGGACTTCTTCCCTGTTAGGGCAACATCCATATAACTGAGCTACCCTCCTGTCTTAGTTTCCTCCTCCTGGCCCCAAATATCTTTTCTTCTTGGCTGCCCAGTGGGTCAGCAGAGATCTGGCAAATACTGTACCTAACCCAAGGATGCTCAACTCCTGGTATCATATCATCTGGCCCCAAGTGTTATACTGGATGCTCAGGATGGCACGGGGCCCAATCACAGCATGTGGGGCCGGGTGAGGGTGGTGCAGGTCCCAAGTGTCCAGTCCTGAAACAGGGATGGGTGGAGGTGGTGCGAATCCCCAGCATGACACACAGGGCAGGGTGGGGGTAGTATGGGACCCCAAGGCCTGATCCTGGTGTGAGGGCTTTGATCTGGTCTGCAAAGCAGCCCAACACCACTCATCTGGCCTACAGGACCAATAGATTGAGCACCACTGGCCTTGCCTCTGGCCTGATAGTTAGAGAGTTTTGCTAGAAAGTGGCAGGCACAGGATCAAACATCCTCTAGGTAAAGAGGGCCTCTAGGCAACTTCTTCCTCTAGGTAGCTTCTTCCTCCTTGGCCAAATGCCCTAGCCATCAGGCTACAGGGCTAGAGATGGAAGGGCTGCTGTCCTTCAAACACTTCCCTGCCTTTCTGCAACTAAAATATGCATGCTTTTGTGCACGTGCTGGAAGAATTCTCTTGCATGTCACCATAGCATAGCCTTCTGACCATGCACAAAGGGAAGACTAGGGCAGACAGCTATGCAAAATCTAAACTGCCAAAACTTGTGGTTAAAGCTGTGTGAGGTTTTAAAGGCCTTCAAGCACATAAAAGGGTGAAATAGCACTACTAGAAAAAGAGTATTTAGGGCCACATCCTAAGTACATAAAGGTGCTAAGCTAGGAGACATATGGGATTTTGGAGGGAAATCAAGGAAGCAAGGTTGTGACATATTTTCAAGAATATGGGACCACTCTGAAAAGTTATTTTAGTAAAAAGTAGTATCACAGGGTTCTGGGCTTACTGGACCCTGCAAGATAAGAGGATCACCTTCTACGGTTAAAAACTGAAGCACAGACAGCTTGCTGAGTGTCATGGAAGAGTAGCTGTGGCAGAATCAGGATTAGAACCCATCTCTGAAGTACCTGTTCACTACCTTTACAACAAGATCAATTAGACCAAATTCTACCTAAGATGTTTCCAAGAATGCTATATTATGAAAAGGCAGACCTGGACCTCTAACTTAAAACAAATAAAGTACTTCAAAAGGTAAGGCTCATGCAACAGTCACACGTGCACCCTCTCTTGCATAGATAAAGATGTGATGTAAGCATTTTACTGCCCTAATGAAGTGAACACTTTTTTGGTTCACTCTGTTGTCACAGATTGCAGAAGTTTAAGTTTACCTGGTATGTAACCCATTTGCTACAAAGCATCTTCTAAGTGATCCCGATAAAAAAAAGCCCACAACTATCTCCATTTAATTCACAATAACTTCCTTATAACCAAAGCAAAATAAGGAAACAAAAGCTTACTGTAGTTAAGTAGGTCTTGGAAGGAGCCCAGTGTTACTGAAACCAAAATTTCACACAAGAGTACAAGACACTTCAGCTTTTCCCTCCTGCTTAATTAAAAACGTTCTAGCAAAGGGTCAGCTTACAAGAGGAAATTTTTAAAAAGTTATCCAGGAAACAGAAAGTTTTACACAACCTAAAAGTTCGCCTTGAAGTTGCTTAAAGGGACACAATTAGTTGTAAGTGAACTTACACTTTCCAAATCTACATTTAGATGTTCAAAGATCGGATGTTGATCTGATCCAGAGAAGTATTTTATACATGCCTTCCAGACTCAAAAAATTAAAATGTGCACTTCAAATGGAACATCTCTTAATTTCCAGCACAGATTTTCATTGATAATTCTGACAAAAGTTGTTAGGATTTAATTTCTTGGAATGAAAGCAAAGAAATATTTGTTTTGAAGACAGGGGTCTTCAAAAGTACAAAGGACTTCAAAAGATTCAAAAAAGTTTCACAATCTCTAAACTTTCTCTCTCATACACATAGAAACACAATTACAACCACCCATAACAACAATTTACTGCATTTAAAAAAAACCCAACCAAAACAAAACCCTGATATTGAACAAAAGCTTCAAGGACAATCTTAGAGAAGGAATGCTCTCTTTCATTTTACCACCAGCAATGTTTACACTTACAAAGTTAACCCAGGGGGAAAGAGGCTCTTATGACAAGCAAGCCACCAAACTGATTCCCATTTCTTTCACTAAAACCCTTTGAAATTTTTATAGGATGTTTTGCTAATATTTCACTTGGAAACCCCAAGGTCAGGCTGCAACCTTTGAACAACAAACAGCTCCATCCAAGGACTCCCATACACTCTCTTGTCTCACAAGCAGACACTTTATCACCAAAGCTGGTTGTTGAGTAATTGCCGAAATGGGACTACAGCTCAAAAATATGCTTTTGCTTCACCACCTTCTGAAGCTCTTTATGCCTTCAGTTTAAGTGTTGTAAAATTCCCCCTTATGCTAAGTTTGAAAATTAGGAAATTAAGCAAGGGATGTTCTTTTCTCCCTAATTCCAGTCACACTAAACAATGTTATTTGAACAAATAAGAACTATTTTGCCACAGAGAGCAGAAAGGATCATCAGGAACAAGCTGCTGTGGGTCATCTCAATGCAATGGGCACGTGATAAAGCTGGTGTCTGAAGCTTAAGACTTCCTACAAGCAAGTGTCCTGCAATAGCTACCGAGATCTCTTTTCTACGGGCCTGATCCAAAACCCATTAGTCAATTAAAATTTCAATACTCTTTTGTGAAGGCTTTTTCAGTGAGTTGAGGGAACTGGAAAGAACTGTAACTGCCCTCTACCCAGGGAAGTCAAGTAGAGATCAAGAGGAGAAAAGGAGGCCAAGTTTTGCCTTTGGATTGGAGAGTAGCCCAATCCACTCTCCTGTCATGCCCCCCTTCATTAAGTGTAGGGATATCAGTAACCAAAGGGAACAATTCATAAGCACACAAATTCCTAGTCATGGGTTTGGGTCACCTTTTCATGGCTGACACATGTTTGCTTATGGCAGGGAACAGTGGGCAACCCAGAGTTGCCTGCACTCTCCAGACACCCTAGAGAAGTGCTCCTGAGGCTTCAGGGGCCCGATCCTACATGCCCTGGGATCCCCCTAGAGAGGAATTCCCAGGGTGTATGGTTCTTAATGCACCATGTCTTGGGGCACAGTTTGCAAGCAGTTATTTCACACTTTCAGACAGGTGTCCTGGGAATCCCCTGCAGGAGATCCCTGTGATATATGTCTCTGCACCCTGCACTGGGGCATATGCCTGCAAATAGGGAACCCTCACTGGGGATCCCCTGCTTGCAGACATAAACCCTGACTTGGGGTACAGCATCTGTGGCCGTTGTCCTGGCGGACCAGGCCCCTGAAGTGGCAGGAGCCTGACCCTGAGGATACAATGGGACCAGCAATGTTTGGGGACACCAATGAAGTGGATCAGCTGTGCTGGGACACATCCAGCACAAGTGATCCCACTCAAAATATGACATCTGCTTATATTTTTTTCTGTACCTGCTTCTGCAAACATCAGCAATCTGCTGCAATCGGCATGACTCAGATTTGGGCCATGGCAGGAGAATAGTGAAGTGGGCAAACCACCACTTTCTTCATTTCTTTTTCTAAAATACAAAAATGATATAGCCCTACTTAGCCAATAGCACAAGGAATGAAAGATAAGAATGGCCAGGCCAAAGGACAAGAAAAAGCACTATAATCAGTGGCAGAGAAGGCAGCTCTAAATTGAAAAAATAAGCTAAAAGACATTCATGTCTCTTCTATAATAAAACTCAGTTAGTTTGGAGAGAAATATAGGACTCATTTGGGTTGGCAACACCTTTGTTTTAATTGTAAGTTTTATGATATTTGAGGTTTGGTTTGAAGCATCTGCTAATGGAATCCAACAGATTATTTAGGATAATCTCAACCCTTACCTGAAAACAAAGTTTTTGGCCCTCAGGTTCATGGAAATGTGAACCCTAAGGGCTCAGAAACAAGGAGTTAAATAAAAAAGCAGCACAAAATGTATTGCTTTTAAGAACGTTTCATGCCTAATAAATGTTTGATCCCCCAAACTGGAACTTCTAATTAGCATCACTTATAAACAGAGTAATAACTTGGTTTTCCATTACTTTCAGAGCCATTGTCTAAACCAACCATTTACAAACACAGACATCAGGTTCATGGTGCCCTGCTGCGCTACTGCCATGCTCAGCTCTGTCTCATGCCAACAATGCATTTGAAGCATATTAATAGCACACCCATCCCTTTTTATGGTTTACATCATTACTCTTTTTAATTAAAATGTCACATCACTATGTATGGCTATTACTAATTTACCAACACAGTAATGTAAGATGCAAAACACAAGTTTTTTACAAGTAGAGTCAACACTATCAGAATAGTGATAAATTTGAACTTACAATACTATCCATCCTCTTCCCTCTAGCTGCTATCTAAGGCAGGAAGAGTAAACAGCCTTCTCCCAGCTTCCTCATTTTCCACAGCTGAGAGTGTAGGATGTTTACAATACCTGTCACTCAGAGCTTCCACAAATGGATGACAAATCAACAGACCAAGTTCAGACTTCATCACTAACTACAGGAAATATCCATATATCACATCAGCAGAGAAATAAAACACTGCACATTTATTTATCATAAAAGTCTTTGGCAAATTTTCCAAGAGTCCAAATTTTGTCCTTTTGTCTGTGCATTGCATAGGAATTAGAAGGGGAAGTTCACAAGATCATTTAGCTGCAACATCTTTAGAAGACATCAGGCAGTTTTACAGTTGTATTTCTGACCACATCAGCTCACTCCTATCTCTTGATGAAGCTGTGCCTGCAAACAAAAGAGAATTCACCATATTAATGGCAGTTTCCATAAGTGCCTTAAAAATCAAGTGGAGGGGAGGGGATATGGAACACAAACAATACCTATAACATCTGTTATGCAATTTCCCAAGAAAAATTCCACATTTCAAAAAAGATTAAGCATAACAACTTAGAATGCCCAGTTAGAAGAATGTGGGCACAACCGTACTTATTTGGAAGCCTTAGAGGAGTGTGGCTCTGGAACAATCTCCTATCAGGGGCATGTGCCGAGAGGCAGACAACATAGATGACTTTAATATGGAACTAGATAAATGAGCACATAATGTGGCTGCCCACACTAGCAGGAAACTGAGCTTAGCAAATCGAGGAGGTCCCCTCCCATGACTGCATCGCAGGGAGGGAAGGTGCAGTGGTATAGATGAACCCCCATTTGATCCCTGCTCCACCAACTGTATGAGACAGGCAGCAGCATGTCTATCCAGCAGTGCTGAGAGGGTCTATTGAATCCAAGGCTCATTATCGCCTCTCCGATACCTGAAAATCTCTCCCTTTTTCAGAAGTGTTAATGACCTTCTTTTTTTAATGGTCTTAATGTTCTACTATTCAAACTATCTTTTCTTCTGCGGTGTTGCAGTCTGTTAGCCGTTCTCTATTTCACAGTTCTGCAGATTGTTTTTAGCTCTAGTTAAGAACCTTAACTCAGGTGTGGTAATACTAACTCAGATTTAAAAATGACTGACAGTGAAGCATTGGAGGCAAAATGTTCAAGAAGGCTAGATTTTGTTTTATGAATCTGAATAAGAGACATATATTTATCTATAATAACTGCAGAAGCAATAACAGCATCTTTTGACTATTTTTTGCCCAGTTTGTTGTGTTGTTTAAAAAACTTTATATATAATCTAGTAACTCAGTGCACATTCCAATAGTCATGTTTGGTTTTGCTTTGATATTAAACAATATAGCACTAGCCCCCTGGCATATTAAAAAGACACTAAAAGCTTTACTAACACAATGTATTTTCTCCAGTTATGGGATATGCCACACCATCTGAACCCCCCCATCCCATTAAGTCTCTGGCTCCCAGGTTCACTTTCCTGTCCTCCACCCACCCAACCCCTCTCTCTCACATCCCTATCTAGAGCACAGATAGAAGCCCATCCTGGCTCACCAGCCTTGTAGTGGCACCTCACAGCCACTGCTCCTAGTCAGGCCCCTGCTGGCCAGCCCTTTAGTGGCAAGTCACAGCTGTGCAGGTAGGGGAAAAGTTAGAGGCTTTTAGCCATAAGGTGTCACTACCCAAACTCAAGCTAGCACTAAAGCCAATCAAAATTTGAGCAGCTCAAAGCGCAACGTGTAATAAGGCCCTAATAGATTTAAAGTAACACTTTAAATATCTTGCTGAAATTCTGCATATCACAAAGCACAGGTGCACTGTACACCTAACATAGCACTCATTTCTTTAGTGAACACTTGCTTTCTGTTCTCTAAAAGTTCAAACAGGTCTGAAAAGTATAGTTTCCTGTAGCATTTGTTGCAGTAATCTAACCTTGTGATAAGGGTGGACGTAGTAAATCAGCACCCAAAAGAAACTGTTTCAGTGGTCTTACCAGGCAAAGATAGCGAGAAATGCTCATGACTGGTGATATCTAGAACAGATGAGGAACCCATATAACTCTTGAGGGGAATACCATACTTTTTTTTGTTTTGCTTTGTTTTTTGGGTAGTTTTCCCTCTAGAATATTGTATTAGATTAAACCAAGATATTCACCTAAAAGGTAAAATATTGGTATTAATAAAAAACAAAGCTAAAGGAACTTGATCTAGGCAATAATAGATGCCTTTTCAGTAGGGCAATAAGTTGAGGTGTGAAGAAAAGACAGCATCACACAGGAGTCTCCAAGTTCTTGCTTCCCACTGGAACACAATATGGGAGGAAGAAGCTTTACATACCTGCTGCTGGGGCCACAAGGGTAACAGATAATCCCAAAATCTCAAATTCTAAAGGAAAGGGGGAACTCCTCAAGCTCAGAAGCCATCCCCATAGCTACAGACATCTCTGGAGGCCTGCAGATGTAAAAACTACCCCCTTTATCTCTTTCAACCCCACCAGTGCCAGAGCTCTCTACCTGTACAGTATGCACCCATGACATGTACCAATCATTTAAAAACATTCTGGTCATTTTGGAGTTGGGTGTCTTGGGAGGCCCTTGATCTATGTTCATTTTCAGGCCAATTTTGTTAAATATGTGAAGTTTAGAGAACTCTGAAAAAAGCTGGTTACCCTTGACCCTAATCGACTATCTGGGGCTCTTTGCCCAAACAATGAAATAAAAATTTCACAAGAGGGAAGGATAAGCTCTTTTACTGGACCAACTGGGACAGAGTTGGGATAGAGTTAGACAAACTTTCAAATGCAAGACATTCTTCATCAGGTTCATCATGGCTACATGACTAACACTATAATAAGAATATAGCAACAGTTCTACAGGTTGTCTGAAAGAAAACTACTAAACTGCCACCAGGTGTCAGTACAACCTAGGAATTACAATGCGTCTCCTGTGTACTTGGTCACCAAGATTTTTTCAACCCATTTCTTAGCGGATGTAAAAAGCATTACTTAACTAGATCTGGTGCGTATCAGTCAGTATTTAAACATAAAGCTAGGATCAAATGAAAAAAAGTTAAACTTTGGTACACCTTGAGGCATGACCTCCGTATAGTATAAAATAATGTGCATATTTTCCGGATGTTGAAGGAGTACACGCACACACACCATTAGAAAAGCCCTTATCACCTACCATAATTGAAGTCATCAGGGCCCAGCATTAGATCTTGTTTACCTTTGATAAAACTTTGTGTTATTTTGTGTCTGACTATAAAAACACTATGTTACTACTTCATTACAACAGAGGTTTCAGCAAGACAAAAGCTATGCAATAATATTCTGCTGCCTACATTCTTATATCCGTCATGTCCTTTGCCTCTAAACATGCCATCTAGAACAAGTATATTAAGTTTACAGGGCACATGCAAAAAAGATTTATAACTTTAAGGCACTGGTTAAAAACACAGCATCCTTAATTTACAGCTACTTGGTTCAGTCCAGCAAGAATCTGTCATTTTGATGATTAATAGTTAAAGTTTGAAGATTCAAGTGGCTAATACTTTATGTATAGATATGGAGGCTGTCCTCTAAAGTATGACCTAAGTAAATATCAGAAACTGACACCTGATTGAGAAACATAGGGTCAAACAATTCTGGATTTAAAGGGAGTAAAACCTAGCAACTTGCAATGTATCTATATTACTATCTAGTACTCTATGAATAATATTCAGTAAATAAAAGTATCAAATATTACATTCACTTGCGATTTATTTAGAAAGAGGGGTACAGTCACACCACAAGGTTAGGTGTTGAGAACTTTCAAATACTAATCAAAGCTCAAAAATACTGATGGGAGCCATATAAGAAACTAGAACTTTGATACCGACTTGCCTCATGGTGTTGGGAAAGCAACTTATCTTCTTTGCTTTATCATTTATAAAACAGTTGATGTAAAGATGATGCGATGGTACCATATTTACTCAAATACAAGATGAGGTTTTTCTTCTAATCAGCATAGAAAAAAAACCCTTGCCTTAAATTTGCATATCAGTAACCCCTCCCATTAAATACCTTAGCTATCATTAAACTGATGCTAAAAGCAGCATGTGCTCAGCCAAGGAAACCAACTATGAAGCTGACTGAATGAAGCCCATGTTGAACATGCCCATAAAGCACGTGGCCCATACTGGGCAAGCATACCAATGGAAACCTACCACAAGGCTAGGTTAGGGCAGCCCATCTGAATAAGATGCAGTGCCCATTGTGCTCAGTCTCCCTCAGCATCAATTTTTTCTCAAGTCATGGTGAACCACTACAACAAATGCATTTTGATTTCCATTTCACTCCCACAGCTGAGCATTTCTTTCCCATTTCCAATTATTTCTGTTTCTCCACAAGCCTTAAATATCTGGCAAACATCACCAGACTTTTATGTAGCTGAAAGGGTGTTGCCTTCTCTCTCAGCCTCTCATATGTGATTAATGTGACCCTGCCATCTATTGTTGGAGGGTCCCAGGACTTATGACAAGAACATCCAGGTCCATTCATGGTGGGGGCTAATTAGCACATCGCTCCTTTGCTGGGGGGTGGGGAAGGGTGTAATCTGGCGTGTGTACACACGCACACTAAGCAGTGTTGAGCTCTGGGGTCACCATGGCTTGAAATGCTGTCAACTCTGCTGTGGTCCAGCTCAATGAACTATTTTATAAAAGTCATGAACCTTTTGGTTCTGAACTAATATCATGCACAGTTTGTACTATTTATAAAGTATATTTCATAGATTCATAGATGCTAGGGTCAGAAGGGACCTCAACAGGTCGAGTCCGACCCCTGCCTAGGCAGAAAAGAGTGCTGGGGTCAGATGACACCAGCCAGATGCCTATCCAGCCTTTATGTTTATGGAGTATATGTCCTGAAATTTGCAACAGACAGGGTTGGGGGCAGTCAGACAAGCAGCAGTCTCCTCAGTGCCTGCTCTCTTCTCTGTTCCCACCCCTCCTTTAGTCACATGCAGCTCACGTTTGCACTGTACAGAGCCTGAGCAGGGTCTGACAGTAAAGTCGAAGTGGAAGACAGGAAGGCTGCAGGGGAAAGAAGTTGTGGGGGCAGAGGGCAAGAGGGCCACCTGACCCTCCCAGGCACTAATTTACCTGGTGCAGCAGAGAGAGGGGAATGAATTCAAGACACTCATATAATTAGATTCTACACCGGTAAAGCAATAACATTTATACATTTAATACTCTAATTATTAGGCGTGTCCATCTTATATTCAGGGTCATCTTGCATTTCAGTAAGGAGGGTATATTTGTGAAAATGAAAGCTTAAATGAATACTGGTGTGCAGGCTAGAGTTGCACATCAATAGGACAGTGTTTTATTTGCACTATGGCAAGGGCTTGG